CACATGTTATACTCGTTTCGCGTAATAACATCCGTCCTTCATTGCTTTTAGTTTTCTCGAGAACTGCAAATGGTTTTTCTAACTTTTGCTCACGTCCTTGTAGTATATGATGACCAATTATAAGTATCTAAAATGATGCAAAGAAAATTGGTAGGCATGGGATTAAAATTATAGGGCTAGGAGATCTTACTGGCTGGCCGTATTTATTGTAATATAAATCGCCTATGAAGAGATCGTGTATATTCTCGCCGGATCGTATTTCGAGATCACCCTGAAGCTCTACGATTGCATATTCTTCGAGGCCAGTTGGTGAGGGTCTGTAGGACATTTAAAATACTAGTAATTATATTGAGTAAAAAATTATCTAGTGGGTGAGGATAATGTATTTATATTGATAATGTTATCTAAAAGTTAATAGACGTATGTATGTATGCATGTGTTGATCTTTATGTACATGGTTATATCTGCTATGAAGTATATGTAAATATACATACTTGTTTAATATCCTACTCCATAATATGGCAGACTTTGTGGGGATACTACAGTAATCATTGAATTAACAATTTTTTAAAGAACGGATAAAATAATTACTATTAGGTATTTTAGTAAATTTAAATTATACTAAAGCCATATCTAACTAACGTAGGTAACTAAAAATCCAAAATTTACTTTTTGATTATGATGCATTTCATCGAATTATAAGTCCCCACATCGTTTTAGGGCGACGATGTGAGGTAGGACCTTTCTATATTAAGGTAACAATATACATAGTCTAATTTTTTTTATCAATATATCTACTCGGTTGACAACATTTTTTATCTTACAATTGAACATACATATATATGTATGAATATAAGGCCGTATGCATAAAAATTAAGACTGCGTTTTCTTGAAATTTCATACCACTTAAAATTATTTGAACAAATCGAGTTCTGAAATTTTAAGGAAAACTTTGCTTAGATTTTATGCATAAGACCAATTGTCTAAATTAAACAATCCCTTTAGATTGGTAGTACAGCATGAGTTTATACATATGTAGCTATTCAAAAATCTTACTCTGCTAAGTTACTTACGTTTTTATTACAATAGGCATTTTTCTACAAGAAAATACTTATATGTATACAAATATTAGTAATGTACAATGCATCACGATTCACATCACTTAAATTCGCGCTTCCTTGAGAATCAGCTGATTTTGACAACGCGTTTTTTTCCATTCCATAGTTTCTAGGGATGTTAATTTTTTCGCTTTTTACAATCCCGGGATTTTCGGGATGTCATGGCGCGAGCCGGGATTAGTTCCGGGATTTAGATATTCATTACTTTCCAACAACTTAAATCGAAAAAAATTGCTTCTATATTGTTTGACAAGCTCTCCTACCATAAAATAAATAATAAATAAATGGGATTGAAACTTACATTTTTATTTAAAGTGGCGTTTTTATTTTTACTCTGACGTCAGAATTTATTTTAAAGGGCTTTGTAATCCCGAATATTAACACTTTTAATAGTTTCCCTCCATGATTCAATAACTACAGGTTGTAGCAATCGTACAAAAACAACATTTACCGTTGGTATGAACTTGTGTCATCAACATCTTTATCTATTCATATTCGTATGTATATGTATACCCTGCATACCATGATAAAAAAAATAGGAAGGTAGAACCGCTGAGAGGAATTTTTCAAATTCTTGACGTTTGCAAGCAATTGAATTTTAAAATTTTACACACAAACACACACATTCTCATTTTCCATGATTCAATAATGAATCATTTAATTTAATAATTGAATCATGCCATCATCATTTTCAATCTAAAACTTTGAACAATTACTTTTTTTTAAGATATTTCTTTAAGTAGTCGTACAGAAATTTCTTCACTAGTTCTTGTCAACCGCTTCATATGTTTTTCTTTGAAGATTCCTAGAAGAATCGTAACAAATTTCCGTAGAGGTTTCGGGAGCATTTGTTTGCAGGGTATATATTTACGTATATGTGTATGTGTACACGGATACATAAACAAAGCAAAACAGACGATAATTTGACACAAGCGTGCTCATAAGAAGAAGCACAGCTTCTGTCGCTATCACATGGAATTGATGCGCCTTGGTTTCCCTCAAGGCGAATTCGCCTTGCACTGAACGTACTTTGCTAAATTCACTTTGCTTGCAATTGTGTTTACATTTTTTTTTTATAATAATCTCAATAAGTCGAAATTAAAAAATGCTGCACCTTCGACATTTGACGCGAATTTATCGAAGCAAAAATAGTTTCATCGAGGTAAATTACAAAAAATGTTTCGTGTTGTGGCGGAGTTGTGAAATTGTACATTGTACAGTAAAGCTTATGTAAACTGTAAACTGCCTTCTAGCAAAACATGCGTATTCACATACATATGTACATATGTTAAACATTTTAATNAATAATCTCCATAAGTCGAAATTAGAAAATGCTGCACCTTCGTCATTTGACGCGAATTTATCGAAGCAAAAATAGTTTCATCGAGGTAAATTACAAAAAATGTTTCGTGTTGTGGCGGAGTTGTGAAATTGTACATTGTACAGTAAAGCTTATGTAAACTGTAAACTGCCTTCTAGCAAAACATGCGTATTCACATACATATGTACATATGTTAAACATTTTAATAGATTTTGAGGAAGAGCAATAATTTGGTGATTACAACTACTGCTTCTGTGCGACCATGTCGGCTGAGCACACAGAATGCCCAGGAATATAGCACCACAACCCGAACAGATGTGGTCAACAATCAGCCCGAAAGTTCAGATGACAACATATTAAAGCGAGTTCTTAAACGAGTAGGCTTTTCGCCCAACACAAAAACCGTTAGTCCCGAAATTAAATTATGTTTTTATTTAGTAATAACTAAACTAATGTCATTTTAGCGCTTGAGAGTGTCCAGTCATTTGTTGTACGAAAGCGTGGCTGATAAAATCAACTACCTGAACTTCTTTAAAGCCTTCGATATGCCCAACACATTTAACTCCTGGTTCCTCGTAACTGAATTGCATGTGTGGATGTTACTTGTTCGAGCTATGGCTGAGGGATCTGAATCTGGTGAAGATGGGCGTTTTCTTCGTAACTGCATTGTAGAAGTTATGTGGGGCGACGTGAATGCACGAGCCAAAAAGCTAGGAGTAAAAATAATCCTCAAAGAATATAATTAAAGTATATATTGAAAATTCTTATTTGTAGACTCATAATCCATCTAAAACCCGAGAACAAATCGAAATTCTTTCGGAACAGTTTCAGGCGGCACTAATTGCATATGACGAAGGCATTATGTCAGATGACCGCGTATTAGCTGGGGCGCTATGGCGCCGCTTCTTCGCTATGAATTGTGACGACATTATAAAAATTGAACGTCTGGTGAAGTACGTACGGGAGCAAACAGTTTTATTAGATCAACTGCAACGCGAAGATTTTCTACAAAAACCCAAAATAGCATGGGCAGATTTAGAAAAGATAACTGTTTAAGTAACCGTGAGATTAAAGTTTATTTTTTCTCAGGTCTGAAATATACATATACACATATACAAGACAATGCAACTTCTAAATACCTACAGTGTGTCTTATTCTAGCTTTGCTACAACATACATATGAGGAGGTGATGTGCAGAAGTAAACAAAAATTAGATTTTGGTTGGATATTGTTTCCATCTATCTACATTCATCAAATTTCAGTTCATTGCTGAAACAAAAGGACTCGTGTCCATCTATTAGGCTATATTCGCTCAAGCAGTTTTTCGAGATAATTCAAAATTCGTTTCGGTTTGACATGTACCTTTTTGGACAACACTTTCTCATATGTATAAGCAGTTAATTTCGCACAAGAGGAAATATGCAACCATGATTTCGTTTTCAAATTGACAAGTCGTCAATTCCCTTATTTACTATGGCTCTTAATTGACATTTACATAAATAAGCCATTATACGACGTTCCGCTTGAATTTTGGTCTCGCTGGGAATGTTCTTCAACAATTCTGCCATTTGGTTGAAATTCTCCAAACGCTCTTTAATCATTTGGTCGGGATCCGGTAATACGACACTTTTCTCGTTTTCTAAAATATCATTTGATAATTCTTCAAACTCTATGTAACTCTCATTAGGCTGCAAGTTATCATTTGATTGGGTCTCGGACATTTCTTCTTCCGCTGATTCCAAGTGTTCCACAGACCGATAGGTCTGTTCACATTTACTAGGCTTATTAAATGGTGCCGTTCTTTGGAGAAAATGCATTCTCTCCAAATAAGGCCACGTTGACCCCCGAATAATGCCTTCCTTAGGGCATAGCTGGTGACAGTGGCGCAGTTCACGAAAAAAATGATTTTTTAAATTGTTCCAACGACTGATGCAAAAGTCGGCTACAAAAAAATTAAGAAAGGTTTCGCTTATGTATGTATAGATTAATGCATTTACCACTGGCTTCCATATCTTTGGCAATCTCATTCCATATACGAGTTTTCTCCTTCATACAGTCGAAAGTCGAAAGACCACTCCAGTGCCGTTGATAAAGCACCGGATGGGGTTCCACAAGCGATATTAATTTAAAATCAAACGGACGGTTTTTCTTATGACTCGTTCTAGTCATTTTGCTACAAAATATTGCATAAAATTGGATGCTGGCTTTGTAATTTTTTATACGATATACATTTATCACACAAATTGGAACAAAACGCTAAACAAACCACAGAGTAGGATTGTCGAAAAACATCGATGTATCGAAAATATCGATGTTTTGCTTCAATGCATCGAAAATTTTCCACTCGATGTATAAATAGTCGATGCATCGATTTTTTAATGTAATTTGACTTGCCTAGTACATCAAACCTTTAAACAAGGCGAATTTATACAAGGTGGTGTTGATGGCGAATTTAGATTTTCGCCGCAGTACTTTTTAATGTAAAAATAGTGTTTGTTGTTATATGAATTCGTCTTGTCTTTGCAAATTTACATGGAAAAAGTGTAGCTTTCTGGTGAAATAGAAGTATACGCTTTTGTGCAATATGTTTATTTGTATATGCATATGAAGCACATTTAACTGATGAAAACATAAAATGTTTTTAAATTGGATGTTTACATAAATCTCATAGTAGTTTTATTTTAATTTTGAGTCCTTTTGCAGTTTTTATACAGCTAAATAGCACATAAATTACGTAATTTACGTATATATATTAATATTTCGTTTAAAATGCCACATTTCCTGCAAATACATTAAGGCTCTGTTATGCATACTTGGCATTGCATGCACTGCTATACCATTTTTACGTAGAAATCAAAAACCAACAGACTTTTACGTATGTAATGCTGTGCGTTGGGTAACCGCTTACACGCGAAGCTCATTTAACAGATTCCTTATATGACAACTCTCAAGCAATGCCAAGTATGCATAACAGAGCCTTTAGAATTTACAAAAGGAATTTAACTACTAAATTCCTACTTTGCGTACTTTTCTACTACCATTTTCGCAACAAAGGATTGCATTCTTCCCCTTTCCGCTCCTTCGTTAATGCAACCTTTTTAAAGGTAGTGTCAAACTGCGGCTGTCAATAATTATTTAACTTTCTGTTATTGAATCATTACTTTGACATTAATAAGTACCACGGCGAAAATCTAAATTCGCCATCAACACCTTGTATACATTCGCCTTAGTGGTGTTGATGGCGAATTTAGAATTACGCCGCGGTACTTCCTAATGTCAAAATGATGTGTTTGTTGTAATCAAGGCGAATTTATATTACAACAAACACATCATTTTGACATTAGGAAGTACCGCGGCGAAATTCTAAATTCGCCTGTAACACCACCTTGTATAAATTCGCCTTGCCTTTAAACATCGCTTTGTCTGAAATTCAAATAAAGTAATACCAACAATGATAGGATACAATGCGCCTTGTTTAAAATTAACACCAAGTCATAAAATCTGTATCGTTCGTTTAATTTTCAAAAATGAGGTGTCACAAGAGAGCTCTTTAGCTCTAAATGCTACTCTAAATGTACATTTATCCATACAAAATTCGTCACCTAAATGCAACTCCATAAGATTGCGCCGTCTTGGGCGTTGACATTTGTGTACCACAAGTAAACAAAGAATAGAGCGAAAAGAAGAACGAGTTAAGACTTCCAAAACAGTTCACTTTACAGCGAAAAACGTGTTTTAATTTTGCTAAACGAAAATATTGTTACGATTATCCTTGAACTCTCGTCCGGATTTCCCAAATCTTCCGGTTCGTATCGCTGGATTGTTAAATAAAGGCTAACGATGACCAAATGGTAGTACAATTAACTTTATTGTACAACAATTTTACAATACTTGCTAATACAGTAAAAAC